GAGGTGCAGGAAGAATTCCGTACAGGGGTGCTGTCGGCGAATGCGCACGCGTTCTTGCACGGCAAGGACACCACTGTGACGGGGAGCTGGCTGCACGGAGACGTGGGTTGCCGCAATCGGGCATGCCGGAAGTTGTGCGACGGCGCGCAAGGTGAAGTGGCGGGTGCAGCAGGTCAACGTCGAAGACGCACGACAACGACGAAAGAGATCCGCCAACAGGAGTGTCAGGTGTGTAGAAGGGAACGTGCGCGGCGCCGTCTGGTGGTGGATGGCCCGGACGGCCCGCGTTTGCAGTCGGGGAAGTTCCTCATTGCCCCGGGCGTGTTTCCGAACAACGACGTGAAGTATGAAGCCAACAAGCTCCGAGCGTCGCAGTACGCGCGCAGGCACGGGAAGCCGATGGTGTACATCCTTGCGCGGGATACGCCGACGCCGGAGGCGCTCCGCGAGCGACCAGATCTGCCGCAGCAGAAAATGGCATGGCTCCAACGACACGACAAGGAGAGCGGAGACCTGTACGGCTTCTTGCCCATCGCAGAGGGCATGCCAGTCGCTCTGACTGATCACATCGATCGCAGCGAGGACAAGAACCTCCTGCGCGGTCGCGTCGGCCGCGTTCAGTCTTGGGTTTGCGACGGGGACGCAGAGCACGATCAGGTCACGCGGGGGGGCGAGACCATTCTGAAGAAAACCCCGAAAGTGATTTTTGCATTGTTCGACGAAGGCGACGACGGAAAGGGCGGTCGGAAGCCGTGCAAGTGGACGATCGGGGGATTGAGGACGCCCGGCTTGCACCCGGTGGCTCCGCAAAAGAAGGAGTGGTTCGTGGACAAAGGTCGTCCGCACCCGCGGCTGAAGGTGAAAAGGCGTCAGTTCCCGCTGGCTCCAGCCTTCGGCGTGACGGCCCATGCGGCGCAGGGGCAAACTTTAAGGAGGGTGTCATAGTGGACCTGAGCATCGGCGGGGGCACGTCACCTCTGTCGAGCTACGTGGCACTGACGCGGGTGCAGCGCCGTGAGGACATGCTCATCTTTCGCCCTTTCGACATTGCGCCGTATCAGAAGAAGGACGAACGGAAGGGCCCAGGCTTGTTGCTGCGCACGTTGCGCGGAGAAGACTTGGACTGGGAGGCGATCGAGCTGGAGTTCATGCCGTCTGGCAGGTGCGCGGTCTGCGGGTGCACGAAGTACAAGAACATGTACCCAACGGTCGGGCAGTGGAGCCGCGCAGATGGGCTCCGCGTGTGCAGCGTGTGCCTGGAAGATAAGAAGAGGTCGGGCACGCCGTGGCAATGCATGGAGTGTGGTCTATGGAAGTGCCAGGAGGCGTTCCACGCGTCACAGCACCACCCGTCGAAGTTGACCACGCGGCGTTGCGTGGACTGCCCCGAGAGACGGAGTTGCCGCGTGTGCGAGGGTCGGAAGTACGAAGAAGCGTTCGCGCCGTACCAGTGGGACCTTGCAGGGAACAGCCGGTGCAGAGGGGGGATGTGCAAAGAGTGCGAGGAGCTGAAGAAGCACCTGACGTGTTCCCGCTGCGGCATGGAGAAGTTGGTGGACGATTTTGCGAGGATTGAGAGGAACGCAGAGGAGCGGAAGTGCAAAGCGTGTAAGAAATCAATGAGAGAGGAAGAAAGACAGCGCGCCGAGGAAGGGAAACGGAGGGTATGCTCGAAATGTGGGGAGTCGAAGAGTAAGGCGGAGTTTTCCGCTCACATGTGGTGCATCGCCTCCAAAGAGACCATTGCATGTACCCAGTGCGTCCAGGATGCGGCCGCCCAACGGGACTCGGCGGCGAGGAAAGACGTGAAGGCCTGTGTTGTGTGCGAGGTGGCGCAACGGCGTGATTTCTTCTCGCAAAAAATGTGGAATGGAGTGGCCGATCGTGACCGCAAATGCATGCGCTGCGTCAACGCTGGGGCTGCACGGCGGAACACAGATGCGAGGAAGGACGTGAGGGCCTGCGTGGTGTGCGAGGTAGCGCAGCGGCGTGAATACTTTTCGAATTGGATGTGGGAGTGCGCGGGAGATCAACACCGCAACTGCAAGCGCTGCATCGATGGCGCAAAGCTGGAGCGAGGGAAGTGGAAATGTGTAGAATGTAAGGGCGCTTTCGGGAGGGAGCACTACAGCAACTGGTTGGCTGGGCGATCGACACAGAAGGCGAATGGGAAGCAGAGATGCAACATATGTTGCGCTGGCCAAGAGCGCAAACGGAAGGAAGTCGCCGAGCGGACCCATGCGTCGGCAACGAAAAAGCTTAAGGCTGGATAGGTGCCTCCGATTCCGAAAAGAGCAACGGCGAACGCTCGTCGTAGTCGTGAACCCAGTCGCGGAGAGAGTATTAGTGGCATGCTGCCGAATATTGAGAACCGTGATAGCCTCAACATGTGGATCGGCTAAACGGACGGCCCACGAATGCCCAGACCCAGGCTGCACACACATGCCGAGAGCGGTGCTGCAGACACAAATGCTCTTGGAGCCATGCTGCAAACACAAATGGCTGACCTGCACACGCAAATGCCCAGAGCCAAGCCGAGAAATCGCGGCGTCGTGGGTCTTAAAAACAAAGGCTCCGTGGGAGAGAATGCCGGGGCGAGGTGGGGTGTGGGGGGGGGAGGGGGGCGTGGAGGGGGGCGTTGGTCGTTCTTTGGGCGAGAAATCGCGGGGTCGGGGGGCCAGGTGGGGGCCAGGTGCGGGGTATCTGTCGATGTTGGCAGGGGAATCGTGGAGTCGGGGGTCCCAAGAACAGAGCCCAGAGGCCTGGAGGTGTCGGGGCCAAGTGAGGCGCGGGGAAAAGGATGTAGGACGTGTTTTGGGGAAGGGGGGGGGGGATTTCTGGGGTTGGGGGTCCCAAGAACACCAGCCAGAGGCCTGGGGGTGTTGGGCCAAGTGGGGGGCGGGGAGGGGGGCGTTGGTCGATTTGGGCGAGAAATCGTGGGGTCGGGGGTCCCAAGAACAGAGCCCATGGGCTTGGGGGTGTCGGGACAAAGTGGGGGGCGGGGAGGGAGACGTTCGTCGATTTTGGGCGAAACATCGTGGGGTCGGGGGTCCCAAGAACAGAGCCCATGGGCCTGGGGGTGTCGGGACCAAGTGGGGGGCGGGGAGGGTCGTAGGGTCGGGGGTTCCAAGAACAGAGCCAATGAGCGCGGAGGTGTCGGGACCAAGTGGGTGGCGGGGAGGGGCGATGGTAGATTTTGGGCGAGAAATCGTGGGGTCGGGGGTCCCAAGAACAGAGCCCATGGGCCTGGGGGTGTCGGGACCAAGTGGGGGGCGGGGAGCGGGGCGTTGGTCGTGTTTGGGCGAGAAATCGTAGGGTCGGGGGCTCAAGAACAGAGCCCATGGGCTTTGGGGTGTCGGGACCAGGTGGAGGGCGGGGAGGGGGGCGTTGGTCGATTTTGGGCGAGAAGTCGTAGGAGTCGGAAGTCCCAAGAACAGAGCCCATGGCCTGGGGGTGTCGGGACCAAGCGGGGAGCGCGGGAGGGGGGCGTTGGTCGTTTTTGGGCGAAAAATCACGGGGTCGGGGGTCCCAAGAACAGAGCCCAGAGGACTGGGGGTGTCAGGACTAAGTGGGAGGCGGGGCGGGGGGCGTTGGTCGTTTTTGTGCGAAATATTGTGGGGTGGGGGGTTCCAAGAACAGAACCCAGAGGCCTGCGGGTGTCGGGACCAAGTGAGGGGCGCGGAGAGGGGCGTTGGTCGCTTTTGGACGGAAGTCGTGGGGTCGGGGGTGCCAAGAAGAGAGCCCAGAGGCGTGGAGGTGTCGGGGCCAAGTGGGGGGCGGGGAGGGGGGCGTTGGTTGTTTTTGGGCGAAAAATCGTCGGGTCGGGGGTCCCAAGAAGCCCAGAAGCTTGGGGGTGTCGGGACCAAGTGGGGAGCGGGAAGGGGGGAGGGGGGGCGTTGGTCGTTTTTTTTTGGAGGGAAGAATTGTAGGGTCGGGGGTCCCAAGAACAGAGCCCAGAGTCCTGGGGGTGTCGGGACCAAGTGGGGGGCGGGGAGGGGGGCGTTGGTCGTTTTTGGGCGAAACATCGTGGGTTCGGGGGTCCCAAGAACAGAGCCCAGAGTCCTGGGGGTGTCGGGACGAAGTGTGAAGCGGGGAGCGGGGCGTTGGTTGTTTTTGTGCGAAAAATCTTGAGGTCGGGGGTCCCCAGAACAGAACCCAGAGGCCTGGGGGTGTCGGGACCAAGTGGGAGGGGCTGGGAGGGGGGCGCTGGTCGATTTTGAGCGAGAAATCGTGGGGTGGGGGGTCTCCAGAACAGAGCCCAGAAGCCTGGGGATGCCGAGGCCTGGTGGGAAGGCCAGGTGGTGGGTATCGGTGGATTTTGGGCGAGAAATCGCAGGGTCGCGGGTCCCAAGAACAGAGCCGAGATGCTTGGGAAAGCCGAGGCCTGGCCAGGTGAGGGGTATCGGTCGTTTTTGGGCGAGAAATCGTGGGGAGGCTTAGGGGTGTCGGGACCCAGTGGGGGGGTGTCAGTGGAGCGTGTCTTCCACGGATCTTCAGCCTTACACTTCGAGAAACCCTCACAAGCATTGGGATATGATCCTCAGGGTTGTGTAGGTAGGCGGAGATGTTGAGCTCGCAGAGCTTGAAATGCAGCAGAAACGGTGGGCTCGTAGAGCTTGGATATACTGTCCAAAGTGAGAGCACAACGTTGATGATGAGAGAAACTCGTTTTCTATCTCGCGTGGTCCCCCTGAGCTTCGGACCGATATGTCAAAATCGCCAAAAGGGGCCTCTTGGCCCGGCTATAAGCCGGACGGCTACGGACAGGAAAACAGAGCACGTGCGGGTGGTTGCACATGGGTTCAAGAGCTCCGAGGACCCGAACGGGACGGACACAGGGTCGGGAGCTCCAGTCACACAGAACCCTAGAAATCTATCTGAGATTCACATGCCCCGAACCATCTGTACGGCCGGCTGTTTCAATAGTAAAGTTATTTCGCGCTCAGGGGGGTGAGAAAGAACTGTTGTACACACAGAATATTCCCCTTAGGTGGCGTAGGCTACTGCACGGAGGTATCATCATGTCTCATCACGCTCACCGCTTCCGAAAGACGAAAGTCTTGGGGAATATCTGCCTCCTCCTTGATCTCCAAATCCTCCGTGTACAACTGCCAGGCATCGTCGTCATCAACTGCGAAATATGTGGCCTGGTCTAGTGTCTGCAGTCCTCGCTGTCTTCTCTGCTTCTCGGAAATAAAATTAGCGTCGTATATCAACTTCCAGGTGCCTCGCTGCTGCCAAAGGTTGTAGCTGGCGCGAGCCTTGTCTGAGTTCTTGGTCATACAATCGCTCAGCTGCGCACCACTGTGACACCACCTCAGGGATGTGGATGTGGCGGCCATGCCGCGCTTGAGGGCCTGGGCCTCCAGCGCGCTCCTCTTGTCTTTCATGCCGAGGGCGCTGCTCTCGGACCGATCCAGAGCATCGAACACGCCGCGGCAGTCCGGGACCAAAGCGCCAGGAATCTTCGCACAGCTAGAAGTCCACTGCTTGAGAGGCGCGGGTCCCAGCAGGATCTCGCTCAGCAGCAGCCTGCAAAACTCACTGGCGGCTTGTACCTCGGCCGCGCTCGAGCTCCGACACACTCTCGGCAACTTCGCCGATGCCCAAGCCAGCAGAGAGATCGGCGCCTCTCGGTTCTGCATCAAGGTATAGTCGGTCAGAAAGATCAAGAAACCACCCTGTGAAGAACCATCACGTCGAACATACCAGGCTGCGTCCGAATAGCCGACCGCACACGGATTCGCGTGCTTCTCCATGATGAGCTCTTCGGTCGCCTCGAACTTGGTGCGCCTGATGAGCTTGTTGGCCTGCAGGAGAGTATTCACCGTGGCGAAATCACTGTAAGCCAGCAGCCGTGACAGCTCTGCCCCGATGAGGGGCACGCCCTGCGTAGCTAACCACATGAGCTGACCGAAGGCGGCTCGTAGACGGGTAGCTTCTGACGATGTCACCGGCTGCTCGGGATCACGATGTCGATGTGCGGGAATATCTATCTCAACGAGCTCCTGGGCGTAGTCATTCATATTAAGATGGATACGGCCCCATGACTTCGTGCGTCCATCATATTCTTGTCGAATCCGCGTCCCGCACTGAACAAAATCTTGAGTCTCCCAGCTTCCCCACTCATAGGCTTGATGGAGCTGCTGGAGGGCGTCCACTGCAAGGTCCGAGTGCTGGTCAATCGCAATCATGAGGTCGTCCACGTGGGCTACGGCCAGACCTATGAGCTGTCCTCCAGGTTCTCGTAAACACCACAGGCAAGGTTCTGTCGTAGACTCCACCCAGCCGAGCTTGGCCATGTCCCGGCGAACTCTCGTCCACCATCTGCGAGGAGCGTTCACCAGACCATAAACTGCCTTCTTGAGCTTGACGCATTGGTGATGCTCGAGTCGCATGGCTTCCCTAAGTTCCTTGACTGGTTCGGCCAGGACATTTCGATCTTCTTCTCCGAGATCGCCTTGTAGGAAAGCTGCCTTGACGTCACCCTTGAAGACCTGAAAGCCCATCGAGGCGGAGACGCCCAGGAAAGCCTGGCGAGCTCGACGACTGCATGTGGGGGAAGCGGTCTTGAATCGCCCAAGTCCCGGATCGGTAAAGCCAAGAACCACCAAACGAGCCTTAAGGTCGCCCGTCTCTTTCCTTGTCATGACCCATCTCATCTTCAACAGGGCTCCAGGGTGCACTCCTGCACGACTGGCTGCCTCGCAGACTCGATACTTGAGGAAAGATTTGATCTCGTTACCCTTCGCGATCGGGAGCTTCTCACGGTCCTCTGCCGTAAGGTTCTTGAGCTTCACCTCGACCTTGTTCTGCTTGACCATCGCGGCGAGGGCCTTGTCAGGCCTCCGGCTGAGTTGATCCATATCCGACTCCTCCAGCGCGAAGCCGATCATGATCGCGAGGTTCGGCTCGTCCTCGCCCACGAAGCCCACCAGGTCGGAAGCCTTCGTCTTCTGATCATACTCCCAGGGTGAGACCCAATTCGCACTGCCCTCAGATTCGGGCTCGGCACGACCGAGCTCGGGCATGACAAGCGTCGACGCCTTCTGGCACAGATGGCCCACGTACCCAGCAAAGTCGGCGCGATGTCTCTTGGGATCTGGATCTTCAGAAGGTTCCTTACTGGCTTCCCGCTTGTTGTAACCTTCTGGTGGTGGCTCGCTCTCATCGAACTGGTCTCTGGTCGGCGTCGGTGCCGGTTCAGCTGGATTCTGCGCGGGCATAGGAGGCGGTGAGACCTCAGGCGCAGCCCCTTCGTGGCCACTCGAGCCCGACCCCGCTTCACCTTCGTGATCATCAGGTTGATGAAATGCCATACTTCTTGGAGTTGTCATCCTGGGTGGGTCTGGTACTTCAACGTTCTCTCCTTCTGGAATATCGTCCCATTCTCCCGGACCAGGCTGATCCACCACATCGTCGTAAGCACCCTTCGTCAACTCCTGAAGAATCTTCTTGAAGTGGTCGGAGCTCCCTGCGGAGATGCTCTCCAGGGTCCGCTCCGCTTTCGTAGTCGTGCGGAGGTGAGCGGCCGCTGCTCGTACGAGACGGTCACCGTCAACAAGCCAGACAACTCCTCGACGCACCGCAACTCCGTTCTTCATCTCGCGCTCCTGCATCAAGACAGTGGCGGGACCGTGAAATCGACCAGCGATACCTGGTCGAGTCTTGTGACTGTTAATCTTCGCACCTCGCCAGTAGTGTGCCTTCTCACCAGGCTCCCATGTCTTGAACGGCCTCGTCTTGACCAGCAGGGCACGCTTCGTCTTCTCCGACAGGTAGTGGTCCACGCACGCCTTGTAGGCAGCCGCCTTGATGCGCGTGACCTCCTGGAAGTGTTTGTCCACCACATTTGCGCTCAGGACCGAAGGATTCTCCACTTGCTCCAGGCCTTGCCCCGACGGGGTGCGACCCATCATGAGCATCATCGGGCTGTAGCCTTGGTGTCGCATCAGGTCGTTGTTGGCCACGCAAGCCCAGCGAAAGATGTCCGCGGGATCTGTGTCGTCTGGTAGCTCCCAGGCGAGGCGAGTGGCGATTTCCTTGACAGTCTCGATGCACCTTTCGATCACTCCCATTCGCCAGTGAGCTTCTCCGGGTTCCGGTCTCCACTCCATGCCGTTACCCGAGACCCAGGCGCGCTGCTCGACCTGCTTGAAGCAACCCTCGGGATCTGTCCTGAAAACCTCCGGCTTGCCGTAGTGGTGGATCCAGTCCTTCAGCACTACCTCCTTCATCTCCTTCGCGGTGGTGTTGCCGCAATGCTCCTCGACCCCCTTCTGACAGGGAATCGGCGTCTGGGTAAAGCGGCTGTCATAGTCTGCACAGAGGGTCCCACGAATTTGGTAGGCTCGTCGAGGATGTGTCCAGTAGAAATTGTCGCAACCCATCTCGGTACCAGGAGCGGGTAACGTTGGTTCTGAGCTGGCAATAGGTCGCATCTGAAACCTTTGAGCTGCCTTACAGGACGGACACTCGTAGTGTCTGCAAAGGTCGATGATCTTCTGGTCCGTCTTGCGAGACTTGAGGGCGGCGCTGACCGTGCTCATACTGCAGTGTCCGAAATTCCGATGGATGTGTGCGATGATGGCCTCCAGCTCGCGCAACTCTGCCTTGGTACAGGTCTGGACACTCCTTGGCAGTGGCAGTCTGAGATTGCCCATCGACTGCTCTTGACCTCTCGACTCGGGCGTCGGCGGGGGCGCCTCGCCTTCTGGAGGGACTTGAGCATCTCCAGCTTCGTCCGGATCAGGAGCTGGTACTTGACCGCCTGCGCTTTCTCCTTGACTCTCGGGAGCTGTGGGCTCCAGCGTTGGGCGCTTCGGCGGCGGCGGTGGTGGTCCTTCAGAGGAGGGCCGCTTCTCCCGCAAGCGCCTGTAGCCCGCTGCACACAGCTCGTCGTCCAACTCGTTGTGGGCCTGCACCAGATAGGCGAGGGCCTCGTCCGAGGTGGCCCTGGTCATGAAGTGCTGGGCGATCCTCCGGCACAGGTTCACGGGATAATTCGCTGACAGTGCCACCCTCGTGCCGCCTTCCAGCGGCATCTGCAGATGCAAGTCAGGGCAGGTCCTCCCAACCTTCTTCTCAAACTGCGGGTCAGTGGTCGCGATGTGCCAGTCCTTGCGTATGAGGAGACCGCTCTGCTCGTCTCTCATATCATACATGCACCCGTGAATCCTGCAGCCATGCATGGACTCCTTGAGCTCCTTGAAGTTGCCTGTCCACGACCTGCAGCGTCCCGACTGCTCGAGGTATATGTCGCAGAAACCCTCGTTCAGCAGCTGACCGATAGCCCATTTGACGTTCCGCTGGATACGTCTGGTCTTGATCAGCTTCTTCTCCGACTCCGCCGTTACGGGGTTCAGATTCTGCCATGGGCACTCTGCTCCGCACGGTGGGGAAAACCAAACTCTTCGAGGCCTCTTGACCCGCAAAGCCTTCACGAGCTTCTCTGCACCCGACCTGGTGGAGAAGTCATACCCGTTCCAGTCGCTGAATCTCTCGGCCTTGCCTCCTTGCCCGATCATCGCGTGCGTGAGCCTGGAGTCGGACACACAGGCCACTTCTGCGAGGTCCAGCCTGCCATAGGTCTCGGCTGCCTCCCAGGCGGTGCCCGGTATCTCTCCCAGAGCCGCCGTCGCCGCGATCAGCGCTCCGAATACACAGCTCTTCACACAAGATGAAGGTCTCCGGCTGGCCTCGGCGGTCCCGACGGTGTCGGCAGATCCTCTGGCACGGGAATCGACTCGGCCTTGGGCATCTGGCTGACGCCCAGCCTCTTGCTCGGCCTGGCCCTGTCGTCCACCTCCGTCGGGTCCGTCGGCGTGTCGATGAGGCCCTTCTGGAGGATCTCCTTCGCGAGGCGCTGCTGCTCCTCCTGGCGGATCTTGATCCTCTCGCTCTCGATGATCTGCTGCACCTCCGTGTCCGTGAGCTTCCGAATGACCTCGGCCGACAGGCGCTCGGGCAACTTCTTGGTGGCCCCTGGAGGGCTCGGTGGAGGCATTGACGTTGGCGCCGTTGTCGTCGCCGTGGCCTCGCTGTCCGAGGAGCTCGACTGGTTCATCCTGGGCGCCACGGGCTGGGCCGTACCCGTGGTCTCCAGGCGGTGGATATACTGCCGGGAGCGAACACACTGGAGTAGCATCTGGTCGCTCGTCTTCGCGAAGTGGTGCTTGAACAGGATCTCCCCGCAGCTCTTGCACTGGATCAGGTCTACGGCAAGGTTGGACCCCTGACGCATCTGGTCCAGATGGGCGCATTTCGACATCAGCCTGGAACACGCTCTCGAACTGGGACCTGCTTCGTTGAACTTCTTGAGCCGAAACGGTTCTTGAACACAAGGATCGTGGGTAGATAGTGAGACCGACCCATCTCGAACGTTCGACTTCTCGAGCTGTTTTATTCGATAGTCTCTCGATGATCATCATGTGTTCCCCGTCTTCTCGAATCATATGAGTGTGGCGTTTCCCCGATAAGCTGGCTAAACTAAGAGCTTCAAAATCTCGAAGATCACATCTCTGAAAACGAACCCGATGATGAACCCGAACGAGAGCGTATGAGCAGTCGACCCATATATCCCGACTAACTCTCGCACCTTCTTTCCAGTCCGCCCGTTCCCATAGATACCAAAGAATAGGTTGTAGCAAAGACTGGCTTAGCTCGGTGTAGGGGCCCATGATGGAGACACTGACCTCGAGCAACTTCTGGAGCATCTGGGGAAGCTCATTGGCGTCTTTGGGGCCCCTGGTGGCGACAGACTTGGACGACGACTTTTCCACAGTCCCTTTGTCGCGACCAGGGTGCTGTCCCTATTCGCTGCTGGTGCTCGAGGCCTCGTTGCCCAGAGCAGTAAGGTTCAGTGCCAAGTGACCTGACGGGAGCACTCTACTGGGGATCTCACGCTTGAACCGATGAGAGTACACGGTGTTGTGGAAGTAATCGATCACGAGCCCGTATTTCTTCAGCATATCGATTCCAAGCAGCACCGGGGATTTACGATCCAGCACGTAGATGCTCACAGCCTCATCGTTCAGGACCTTCACGTTAAAGGTCACCCGTGAGGGTGCGTCTGCCCTGTCGCCTCCAGCAAATGAGAATCCCAGACTCTTGTCCGGGCTGACCTCCATGGGCTCACTCAGGCGCTCGTTCACGTACTCCAGCTGCTCCACGCCTCCGACTGATCTGGACGCTCCACCGTCCAGGAGTGCGTAGCCCTTGCAGTCGTCCATGCTGAAGGCCACGAACTCGTCCAGGTCCTCCTCGTCGCAGTCCTTGGACTCGCCCTCGTCGTTGGCCGTGCCGACGAACACGTCCTGGATGTCCTTGAACTCGACCTTCTTGCTATAGCCGTCGGCCGCGCCGACGAAGCTGTTGAAAGCCCGGCGCCTCTCCCCTTGGGCGCCGCCGTTGCCCCGATTGGGGCAGTCCCTTGCCTTGTGGCCTGGCTCGCCGCAGAGTAGGCAAGCCCCTTTGAACTTCTCGTTGGTCCCTGGGTTCGAGTCCTTCGGGGTTGCCGCTGGACGCTTCTGACTCTGACCACGACCCTTGCCGCGGCCTGCCACTCCGCCTCGATCCTTGCCCTTGCCCTTGCGAGGCGGTCCGCCCCGACTCACTGCACGTCCGCGTCCAGCTCCAGCGGCGGGTTGAGTCGGGAGCGCATCGTAGGCGCCCAGACCTACCACCGGAAAGTAGCCTCTGGCGTTCTTGACCTCGTTGATCAGCTTCCTCGCCTCCACGAACGTCCTCGAAGCCGCGAAGGCCGTCTCCGTCCACTCGTCCGTCTCGTGAGTCGAGGCCGCCGCTGCCAGCGCATCCTCTCCTTGTTCCTCGTCTCCTCTAGGCTCTTCACCGAGCGCAGCGGTCATCAGATCTTCGGCTGCCGTCATCGCCGACTCCGTGATGTCTGCCGCCTCTTCGAACCCGTCGATGTACGCCTCGTCGTAGACCTCCTCGGCGTAGGCGGCGAGCTCGTCGGCGTCGTCGAAGACCGCGTGAGCGCCTTTCCTGGCCTTGTATCCCTTCTGCTTGTCGCGCGATGCCAGCTGCTCCTCCGACCACTGCTCAGCTAGCGCCTTCTTCACGTCCTGGTAGAGGTATGAGTTGCCCTTGGGGCCGCTGGTCGCCAGCACCGCGGCCTGCTCTGACGGGTCCAAGCCCGTCCCGTCCAGCAGGATCAAACCTAGGATGAACTCGTGCATGAAACCTTGGGCCGGAATCTCGTCACAGACTGCGTGGAGGGCTTTACCGATCTTGCTCAAGTGGATGTCAAAGCGAGAAACCCATCTCTTTGGACCTTCACCCGGATGCCGATGCACTCCACGCATGAACTCTCGCCACTTTGACACAGCTTCCTGCATCGTGACCGTGCCTCTAACTCCTTTGAGCGCCTCCACGACCTTTTCCGCTCCGTCCTCCGTGACGAGGTCGTCGAGCGAAACCTTCTTTGCCTCAAACCACTGCTGCGAGTCCTCGTCCATTGCCTGAACCAAACGCGGGCCGAGGTAGATCCTGTCATCCTTCTTTGTGCCCAGGACCCACAACTTAACCTTTTCCTCGAAACTCTCTAAAGTTGAGGCCTCACCATTCCACACAGGAATCTTGATTCCGGACTGCTGATCGTTCGCCATCTTGATTTGGAGATCGACCTCGAAGTGGGCTGCCACTTCGTCTCGCTACCAATGTCAGTGGAGCGTGTCTTCCACGGATCTTCAGCCTTACACTTCGAGAAACCCTCACAAGCACTGGGATATGATCCTCAGGGTTGTGTAGGTAGGCGGAGATGTTGAGCTCGCAGAGCTTGAAATACAGCAGAAACGGTGGGCTCGTAGAGCTTGGATATACTGTCCAAAGTGAGAGCACAACGTTGATGATGAGAGAAACTCGTTTTCTATCTCGCGTGGTCCCCCTGAGCTTCGGACCGATATGTCAAAATCGCCAAAAGGGGCCTCTTGGCCCGGCTATAAGCCGGACGGCTACGGACAGGAAAACAGAGCACGTGCGGGCGGTTGCACATGGGTTCAAGAGCTCCGAGGACCCGAACGGGACGGACACAGGGTCGGGAGCTCCAGTCACACAGAACCCTAGAAATCTATCTGAGATTCACAGGGGGCGGGGGGGGGGGGGGCGTTGGTTTTTTTTGAATGAAAAAATCGTGGGGGGCCCCAAGAAAACAGAGCCCAGGCTTCGGGGTGTCGGGGCCAAGTGGGGGCGGGAGGGGGGCGCTGCTCGGTTTTGGAGGAAATCGCGGGGTCGGGAGTCCCAAGAACAGAGCCCAGAGGCTTGGGGGTGTCGGGACCAAGTGGGGGCGGGAGGAGGGCGTTTGTCGTTTTTGAGCGAAAAATCGTAAGGTCGGGAGTCCCAAGAACAGAGCCCAGAGGCCTGGGGGTGTCGGGACAAAGTGGAGCGCGGGGGAGGGGCGATGGTCGATTTTGGGTGAGAAATCGTGGGGTCGGGGGTCCCAAGATCAGAGCCCATGGGCTTGGGGGTGTCGGTACCAAGGGGGTGGCGGGGAGGGGGGCGTTGGTCGATTTTGGGTGAGAAATCGTGGTGTCGGGGGTCCCAAGAACAGAGCCCATGAGCTTGGGGGTGTCGGGACCAAGTGGGGGGCGGGGGGGGGTGGAGCGTTGGTCGATTTTGGGCGAGAAATCGTGGGGTCGAGGGTTCCAAGAACAGAGCCCATGGGCCTGGGGGCATCGGGACCAAGTGGGCGGGAGGGGGGGGAGCGGCGGGGAGGGGAGCGTTGGTCGATTTGGGGCGAGAAATTGTAGGGTCGGGGATTCCAAGAACAGAGCTCATGGGCCTGGGGGTGTCGGGACCAAGTGGGGGGCGGGGAAGGGGGCTTTGGTGTTTTTGGTGGAAAAATCGTGGGGTCGGGGGTCCCAAGAACAGAACCCAGAGGCTTCGGGGTGTCTGGACCAATTCGGGGGCGGGGAGGGGGGCGTTGGTCGTTTGCGGGCGAGAAATCGTGGGGTCGGGGGTCCCAAGAACAGAGCCCAAAGGCTTGGGGGTGTGAGGACCAAGTGGGGGGCGGGGAGGGTGGCGTTGGTTGTTTTTGGGCGACATATCGTGGGGTCGGGAGTGCCAAGCACAGAGCCCAGAGGCTTGGGGGCGTCGGGACCAAGTGGGGGGCGGGGAGGGGGGCGTTGGTCGTTTTTGGGCGAAACATCGTGGGTTCGGGGGTCCCAAGAACAGAGCCCAGAGTCCTGGGGGTGTCGGGGCGAAGTGTGAAGCGGGGAGCGGGGCGTTGGTTGTTTTTGTGTGAAAAATCTTGAGGTCGGGGGTCCCCAGAACAGAGCCCAGAGGCCTGGGGGTGTCGGGACCAAGTGGGAGGGGCTGGGAGGGGGCGTTTGTCGATTTTGAGCGAGAAATCGCGTGGGTGGGGGGTCTCCAGAACAGGGCCCAGAAGCTTGGGGATGCCGAGGCCTGGTGGGAAGGCCAGGTGGTGGGTATCGGTGGATTTTGGGCGAGAAATCGCACGGTCGCGGGTCCCAAGAACAGAGCCGAGATGCTTGGGAAATCCGAGGCCTGGCCAGGTGAGGGGTATCTGTCGTTTTTGGGCGAGAAATCGTGGGGGGGCTTAGGGGTGTCGGGACCAAGTGGGGGGCGGGGGGGGGGGCGCTGGTTGTTTTTGATGGAAAAATCGCGGGGTCGGGGGTCCCAAGAACAGAGCCCAGAGGCTTGGGGTGTCGGGACCAAGTGGGGGGCGGGGAGGGGGGCGTTGCTCGGTTTTGGGGAGAAATCGTGGGGTCGGGAGTCCCAAGAACAGAGCCCAGAGGCTTCGGGGTGTGGGGGCCAAGTGGAGGGCGGGGAGGGGGGCGTTGGTCGTTTTTGAACGAGAAATCGCAAGGTCGGGAGTCCCAAGAACAGAGCCCAGAGGCCTGGGGGTGTCGGGACAAAGTGGAGCGCGGGGGAGGGGCGATTGTCGATTTTGGGTGAGAAATCGTGGGGTCGGGGGTCCCAAGATCAGAGCCCATGGGCTTGGGGGTGTCGGTGCCAAGGGGGTGGCGGGGAGGGGGGCGTTGGTCGATTTTGGGTGAGAAATCGTGGTGTCGGCGGTCCCAAGAACAGAGCCCATGAGCTTGGGGGTGTCGGGACCAATGATCTTGGGGGTGTCCGGGACCAAAGTGTGGGGCTTGGTGGGGGGGGCGCTGGTCGATTTTGGGCGAGAAATCGCGGGGTCGAGGGTTCCAAGAACAGAGCCCATGGGCCTGGGGGTACCGGGACCAAGTGGGCGGGAGGGGGGGGAGCGGCGGGGAGGGGAGCGTTGGT